TTCTTTAATAAAATAAAGATTATAAAACTCAATTGGTTTTCTGAACAGTACACTTGTCATAGGGTCATCTGAGAGTGCTGCCTCGGCCTAGTTTACTTAGAGTCCTGTCAGTGGTGCAAGTTAAGTCTAAGGACTACAAAGCCCACTTGACCTTTTCATAATAATATCTGAGAGTACAAGGGTGTTCTTATGTGGGCAGACCTGTGAGAAGAAGTGTTGTATCATGGCTAGCTGAGTTTGGACTCACTCAGCCCATTTTAGCATGTGCAAACTCCTGATTGCTCTCTGTCCAGGCTTACATGTGTGTTTTCGAACCCGTGTTTGCTGACCGTGGTGGTACCTATTTATCTACTCACATTTTTACATGCTTTCTAATTGCTAGGTGGGCAGGAGCTGGGACAAGCGACGGGAGCTCACTCTGTCTCGTGGATTCAAACTGCTGATCTTTTGACCTTGCAGCCCAGAGGCTTTGCGATTTAAGCTGCACCGCCACCACATCCCTCTAATAAACCATTAGACCAAGATAAACATTCTGCTCATTGGTTAGCTGCTTTTAGGTGGGTTTTTTTTGGTTCTTGCTTGTGCTATTTTCAAACATTTTCACTATTCTTTAAATCATGGCTTCCCATTACATTTATGCCCCATTACATCCAAGCCTGGTATGATATAATTTTTTTTCTTTGTAATAAACTTTTCAAGATTTTGCTATTTAAAACTAAAAATGCTATCTCGGAAACTTAGCCATTATTGTATATGGATGAAAAGAGGTTTCCTATCCCAGTCCTATAGCACACATATTTTCTTTACAGAGGTATTTGGTCACATGCTTGGAGAATCTAACTATGGAACAACGATGTGAGGGGAAGAAGACCTAGTAGGATGGTCGGCCCATGAAGGCTATTAGATCCAATGGGATTCTGAGATGGATGAGTTTTTGGCTAACCTGATTGGTACTTGAAGCAATTATCACAGCCATACTGTATGTGTTCTACATTTCAGGACCTGCCCCTCACCCTGGTTTACAGAGCTGCAGGCCATGAAACAAGTGAGGAGAAAACTAGAGAGTAATTTCAGGAATACTCCCTCGGATGTTAACTTGGCTGCAGTAAAAAATATGTTAGCAAATACTGGAATACAATTCAAATTGGAAAAAAAGGCCTATAATACCAGGTTGATTAGTGAGGCAGCTAACCAACACTCTACTGGGTGTTCTGTGACTTCACAGGTGCTAGACACCATCCAGGGCCTCAACTGGACATGACTACCTATGACCAGTTCACAGCACATTTTCAATCTAAGACTGAGACCATCTGTAGAGACCAGGACTTTGTTAGTATGGCAATACTGTAGATCAGTGGTTCTTAACCTTTCTGAAAGAAACACCCCCTTGAGCCATTGAGGAAGTTATCATTGCCCCCCTCCCCACAGTAGCACAGCGGCGGTGCCACCACAGGGAGGGGGGCAATGATAACTTCTTCAATTGCGGTGGTGGCGGCAGCACCACACCCGCTGCCAGCACCAGCTGCTCTGCATCCGGTAGGGAGAGGGGCAATGATAACTTCCTCAATGGCGGCGGCATGGTGGCTCCATTGCCCCCCATCATTCCCTTCTGTTCCTTCACCCCTGCGTCACCCCTTTTCATTCCATCACCCCCCTGAAAAATTAAACCGCCCAGGTTAAGAACCATTGATCTAAAGTGTAGATCATACTGATGTGCTTAACACACTGTCTTGTCCAGTTGTACTGGATGGATTTCAGCCTGTACCGCCTGAGGGTGCTGATGAAGCTCTTCCACCAGAGTAAAGACCCACTCCCTTCTGGGTCCTAAAGTCAGCCAATGAAGTAACAGTGGAATGAGCTGTTCAGATCATGAAGTCCTCTCCTTACAGGAGGGATACGTATATGCTTCCCAGTCTGAAGAAGACAACAGTCCAGCCTGTTCTTTAAAAGTCCAGCTTGGCAATGGATGATTTAAAAAACTTTTGACCTGTTGCCAGGCAAATGGAAAAGACAGCCTTATATGTCAACATTTTACAGTACATTAACATTTTATAGTGCATTAATGGAAGTGTAGAGCCTAAATCACAAGAAGTAATAGTTATATTCTATGCTTTGCTGAACAGACTGCTTTTGCAATATAGTGTCAATTCCTAAATGCCACATTTAAAAATACTGATAGTTTGATCTTGGAAACGTAAAATCAAATCCTAAGGCAAATGGTTGAAAGAACTTACTTTAGCACAGCAAGTCACAACTAGAGTAGGCCAATTTGAATCAATGGAAGTCACAGAGGAACTGGCTCACCAAATCATCACTAATCCGATGTACCTACACTACAATTTACTACACAAAGCAAGAGGATACCAGCCAGTATGCTCATTTTGTCATAGAAGATATAGAATACTCTTAGATTCTGAAGGTTCAGATGTCAGGACTAGGACTTGGGTAGAAACTGCTGAGATATAGATTACAATGAAATAGTAACAAAAGTTTTACAGTGGAACAGACTGTCTAAAGGCAGTTGGCTCTTCTTTGCTATAGGTATTCAATTAGAGGATTAACAATCACTAGGGTTAGTACAGTTATGTCTTTCTTTATATATCCTTAAGAGCAGGAACTTAACATACAGGGTCTTTCCAACTACAGCATTCATTAAAACAGCCAGAAAATATGTTATTTTTCTAATAGTCAAGCCTGTAACACCACAAAAGTCCTGGCATCCAAAAAGCTACCTTATGCAAGCCCAAGGGTTTCAGCTTACTTGCAGGAGTTTTGATTACTTTCCCTTTAAGCAGAAACCCACACATGGCACAATATAAACTATTTTTGGAAGTCCACTCAACTCAATATGCAGTGTGCTGCTCAAGGAACACAAGTACAAAACATCTTAACCAGTCTATAGGTCCATGGATGTTAGCCAGTGAGTAGATAACATTAGATTCTGCTGTTCATACTATAAACAATTTGACAAAAAGTGGGTTAAAGGACACATACATAGTAATGCTAGCTTCAGAAGAGGTAGCTATAATTAAAATATAACAGTCTTTAAGGTACCACTTTAAAAGTGTGTCCCTTTTTAAAATTTTATTTTATTTGGCCTGATAGACATACTAACGGATACATACTTATGTAGACAAGGTTACTTATTTCAAATTTTTAATATTGTAGAAATTGGTCTGCATTCTCTTTGAGTCCATGAACCGATTTCTACAAACCCTATAGCAGTAATGTAAATCTTGTTTTTTCCTCGCCTCTGGAACAATCTGCCTCTGGAGATTCATGCAGCTCCCTCGCTGGCTATTTTTAAAAACCAACTAAAAACATGGATGTTTAGGCAGGCCTTTCCTCCAGTTAATCTCTGACTCTCCCCCCTTTCTCTTCTTTTTTATGGTTTATTTTTAATTTTTTTCCATCTTGAAGAACTGCTATTTAGTGTAATAATTCCTTTTTATATTTATTGTTGTTATGTGTTGTAAGCCGCCTAGAGTGATCGTAATGACCAGATAGGCAGGATATAAATAAAATAAAATAAAATAAATCATAATACACAACTAAAGAATGGGTCCACAATTCAAGAAAAATGTAGCAAAATAATATAGAAGGTTCAGCTATCCCAAGCTATATTGGGATACTGTATGGAAGAGAACACAAACTAAACCCACTGTTTAAATTAAAATGCCTTCCTGGCTTTAAAAAAAGCAAAAGACGCTGAAGGATCATAATCCAAAATCTGGGCTAAAAATAATAATAAAAGCAAGTATGAGTTATATGAACAGTTTACATACAAAACTGCAGTGTCAAAAATCTCATGAGCTGTGCTAGTCGAAATTATATACAGGGGTTTAAAATAAGCAGTATAAAACATGCATTAAGAATGTGCCATACAAGGTGAAATCAAGACAAAACAAACTTTAAAAGTTGTAAAAAAATATATCAATGCATTTCATTCAAAACAAGGTATCACAATCCAAAGGAACATTCATACAGAAATTAGACATTTAGCCAAATTCATATTGTTACTAATGATGACTAACATAATCTTAACACCACCAAAAAGAATGAGAGCAGAAAATTGTGGTTCTTTAAATGATCAGCAGCAACATATGCTAAAAAGTAGAAAATAATGATACACATGTTTCATAGTGACATCCGTTTGTAAAGAAGAATCAACCAATATATATGTTAATAGAAACCAAAGTTTACCAAGTTAAAGGAATGAAAAGAAGCAGAAAACATAAAGCAGAGACTATGATTTCATATATAGGTACATATAATCACCTTTTTGTTTTCTGGAAAAAACAGGGCTGCATGAAGACCCCCCTCCAGCTGCAAATTATAGAAAGTAAGAAATCAAGGCACTGATCACAGTGATGTCAAGAAGGTATTATAGTAGCCTCTGAAAAGTCAGGTCACTACTTTCAAGCCTCATTTAAGAAGAATGTTATTATTTTCTCCTGCTGACAGCAGTAACTGGCGGTAAACATTACTAATGGAAACTAGCTCTGTTTCTAACAAACATGAATAAGCTACCATGTTTCCCCAAAAATAAGACAGAGTCTTATATTAATTTTTGCTCCAAAAATGCATTAGGGCTTATTTTCAGGGGATGTTTTATTTTTTTCATGTACAACAATCTACATTTATTCAAATATAGTCATGTCATCTTCTTCTCATTACTGCACAATGGTAGAGGGCGGAGTTTCACTTAACTGGGGCTTGTTTTTGGGGTAGGGCTTATATTAGAAGCATCCTCAAAAATCATACTAGGGCTTATTTTCAGTTAGGTCTTATTTTCGGGGAAACAGGGTAGTCTACTACTCTATTTGAATATTTCAATAAATAATTAAATAATTATTTTTAAAGATATTAGCAATTAAAGAAACAAAGGAAATGTTTCAAGATAATCAAACTCACTATGCATTCCACTTTGTCGCAAATGCAAGTGCTGATAAGAAAACCAACGGTTAAAACAGAACACAGTGAGAGTGGCACCTCAAGCATGGCACCTTCAAGATTAGAAATTAAAATGTTACAATTTATTGCATTTTTTAAGGTGGAACTTTTTAAAGAGCTATTAGTTTGAAGTTTCATCCTTAAAGCATTGAGAAAGCTGACGGAGATGTTCTGGTTAAATACACTAAATTTAACAGAACTAAGAATTTTAACAGAAGGCTGCCTAATTACTTATTGCAGGCTTCTGTTTTTGAAAAAAAAACTATATATAGCTTACCTATAAGTTCTACTATGCTGTCACTGCGGTTTCTGCTCGTAGATTCACCTTTGGATACATTCATTTCTGCAATACCACCAGCAGTAGTCAGAGCAAAGAGCAGATTTGGAGGTGGTGTTTTGAGAAGCTGTTGCAATAGTTCTAATGAGCCAGTCACAACGTTATGGTCTTGATGCTGTGTGTAATGCAGACTCAATTCATAAACCTAACATTTCAGAAATAAAACTTCGTAATTAGGTTTAGGGATGTTTGGGAACTTTCACTTCTTTAGTTATTTACCAAAGAAAATGTGCAATACTTTAATTCAATATATATATATAGATATATTGAATATTAATATACAGTACATGCAGAAACTCTACTCACAACATAGCAGTTTGTATGTTTGGAATCAAATTCAAAAACTTATATAGATAAACATATGAAATTATGCCAAATATTTAGTGTTCAAATCAGGAAAATTATATAGTTGACATGTAGAAAACACACTGAAATCATTAGTTGTCAATTAATAATATAAATAAAAAAGAATACAGAAGTTCCAATCTAAATGTAGTAAAATCCAAAGAACAACAATTTAAAATGCAATGTTTTATAACGGCAGTTCCTAACCTTGGGTAACCCAGGTAGGGTGGATTAAAATCCGGGATTTTCTTAAATTGGATTTTTTAAAATTTGAATCGGATTTATTTTAATGAAATGCTTTTGGAGAAAAAAATCTATCTAAAGATACATAGTTCTCTTTTTAAGATGCATTTTAGTTCAAAGGTTATTCAACATGAAATAGAACTTAGTTTGTAGTATGGTTATTCAAGCAGGTTTTCCTTCCTGCTGCATCTTAATATTTATATTTTTACATCTTGGATTTTTACATACTTATTGGTTCTATTGTTTTTAAATTGTGTAATGCCGCCCAGAGTAGACCCAGTCTAGATAGGCGGGGTCTAAATCTAATAAAATCAATCAATAAATAAAATATGAGACTGTATATTCATGCAATATTTAAATTTTCAGTAGACTAATTCAATTAATCCAAGTCATCCAAACTGAGATAACATGCACTTTTTTACAGTAAAAATGGTATAAAGTTCAGGAAAGACCTTAATCCCATTGTTCTGCAAATATATGTACAAATAATGAATACATTACAGTAGGACCACAGTATCTGCAAAGGATCAGTTCCAAGCCTCCCTGCAGATGCCGAAAAACACAGATACAGCAAATACTACACATTGCATGGTCTCTGGATCCCTCTAGTAGCCATTTCTGTTGTAAGCCACCCAGAGACCTTCAGGTAGTATGGGTAGCATATAAGTTAAATAAATAAATAAATTTCTGGTAAATACACCTTGCAAATACATATACATACATTTTTCAGGAGGGCGATATTTAGATAAGCGAATAAGAATAATTGAATCAGCAGATTCTGATCCCGTGGATAGGGGGGTTCCTACTGAATCTTAAATGCTAGGTTTGAAGATGGTTTGGAAGATAATTTGCTTTTTTTAAAAAATATTTTGTTTAACTGCTTCAGTTAATAAACATTGATGTTTAAGCAAATGCAAGAATATAAGCGCTACACGTTATTGTTTTAGTTGAATAAAACAATTTAAGTAGTTCTGCAAATATGATTTGCCTTTTAAACAAAAATCAACTGATACAGCTGTTTTACTAATCTGACAAGTTATTCTAAATGTGAAATCTTGATCTGATTGCCAATATTAAGATTGTAACTACCAGCAAGAACGAGTCTTTATATTTAAAAATCATGATTTAAATCAAGACTTTCTGACTAGTGATTTAAATCATGATTTAAATTGTGATTTAAATCAACTTGCTTTAAATCAGGCTTGTCCAACCTGCGGCCCGAGGGCCGCATGCGGCCCAGGTCAGCTCGCAATGCGGCCCAGTGCAATTTTTTATTTTTAAAGAAATTCCAAAGTTTCAAGTTACACTGCCAGCGCTTGTGGCCGGAATGTGGCTGGGGCATGTCACAACAGTAGAGGGGGAGAAAGGGAAGGAAGGAAGGAGTGGGAGGGTAGGGGATAGGGGGACTGCGTGACTACATTGTGTCGTCCCCATCAATAGGTGGACCGCCTCCCGGCCCCATAAAGCCACCGGAGTCGAAGCTGGCAGCCTCTGCTGTCTGAGATCGCAGCTGCTGGTAAGTGCGCTTGGAGCGGGGCTGTGGAGGACGGCTAGGGCTGCCCCCCCATGCGGCCCAAACCAAATGTATGTGTGGCCCAAACCAAATTTTCATCTTCTAATGTGGCCCAGGGAAGGTGAAAGGTTGGACACCCCTGCTTTAAATAATCCATCCTGAACCCAGATGTTCTTAGATTCCAATTCCCAGAAGCTTTCACCACCAGCTGTGCTGGCTGTGGTTTCAGGAAGTTATAGTTCAAGAACATCTGAGGACCCAAAATTGGGAATCACTTTTATATGACAAAGGTTGTTGCTACAACATGGGGATCAATCACTAATGCTGCAACCTGGAACATGGTCTGTTGAACTCAGTGAGAATTATTTCTTAAGCAGATGTGCAGAAGACTGCATTATAAAAATGTTAAATGTTTCTACGTTATTCTTACCTGTATAAGTTGATCTAAAGAAGGAGAAATCTCTGTTTCTTTCCGTATCACACCAAAGCTACCTTTAAGACTTGTATCTTTTACTTGCTGCTGCAGTAGGGGTATTAGATACCTTAAGGTCAGCAATACACCAAGAATTAAGACATTGGGATATTCCTCTTTCATGGGGGATAATAAACCTGCAAAGGTAATTGTCATGGTTTTAAAAAGTTTTAAATTGCACTTTTTGGCTTTTAAAAATGTGTAGTACTTTTTCTACATTCTATAGTTGAAATCCTGGTTGTGTTCACATGTGTCTATTAGAAAGAAACCTTAAGCCCCATCAAGATAGTGTGTGTATTGTGATCACCAAGGGAAATAGGTCACAATTTGGACTGCTAATGCAGTGGTCAGATGCAATCTATTTCTTGATTATCACATGACTTATGGGGAGATGTGTTCCAGTCTGACCCCTAACTGTGCCCAAGCTGGAACTTTTTGATCCAGCTGTACGTTACGTTTTTGAGCTGGGCTGAATCGATTCCACAGCAAAGACAAGAAACACTTTCAGGGAGATCAATCCCATTGAAATAGCCCTTTCCAGTGCAATAAGGCACTTTTGCAGTTGTCTGACTGCACCCTAAGTGTGCATTTACCCCATCAAAAAAGCATGTGTGAGAGTAAATATAAAAGAAGTATGTGTAAATATACATATGGTGTTCTGACTAAGCATCCATCTAGTATTCAGGCACTCATCTAGTGTGTGTATTCATGAGCCCCAAAGCATGCATGTTCTCATCCAGCACTAGTATGTCTGTCAAGCATTCATGCACCTATGCACATGTGCCCATGTCTGCCGCCAAACTCTGTGGCGAGTATCCTGTTTTGTAGCCCCACTGTTGTAACTGGAGCAAATGCTACTAAATAACATTCCTGCTTCAATGTTGCATTGGGTTGCACATTACTTGGTCTCATTTTGGATTGTGTGACTCATGCACAATGTAAGAACTGCTGGACAGCTCAGTGGCTTAGGCTTCTGGCTGCAGAGGCAGAGGTTAGGAGTTCAGTTTCCCACTGTGCCTCCTTGACAGACTGTACTCAACGATCCATAGGGTCCCTTCCAGCTTTGCAGTTCTAAGACTGTTATAATGTCAATCTGCCATTCCTGATGATACTTTCTGTTGGACAACTGGACCTATGGGATCTATTTCATCCTTTCCCAACAATGTTCCTCTGTATTCTGCACAGTACAAATAAAACAACTGACATCACAAATGGCAACACACACACAAAAATGTTTCGGAATATTTCTATTTAGCTGGACACTCTTTGAGTGACCTTAAATTGACTGTGTTAGAAAAAAAAAATCACTGCAAAACTAGACTTGAAAGAGAAAAAGCTGAGCTAAAGTATATAGAGATGCTGGAGACCCACTCAAAAGTCTTAAATATCAGTCAAGGGTTTCTAACTCATTACTAATTGCAAAATCCTATACTGATTCCCATAGCTTGCCACATCAACCAACAACACACTGTTACCTTGTAGACTCACAGATTGAGAAGTGGAATTATCCACAGCCCGATAATTCTATTCCTTTACTTACAAACCACTGTTACTTTACCCCTTATCTGTATCCCTACCTGGTCATGTGGCCATGTATAAACATGACAGTCATATAACATCACTCTAATAACTGAGGAAGTGAAAGCTCATATTAAAATACAGCAGTTAATCTTCAAGGTGTCACAATGTTTCTGTCCCTTCTTGTTTTTTCATCTGACATGTTTTCCTAGACCCGTGGTGGTGAATCTTTTTGGGCTTGTGTGCCCAAACTAGAAAAAAAACAAAAACCAGCAAGCGGTGTGCCGCGGCAGCAGAACCAGAAGTGGCGGCAGTGGAACCGGAAGTGGGAGCGGAAGGGGGAATCCCAGCATGGAAGTGCCTCAAGACCCTACTCTGGATCCGGTGCCAAAGCACCAGCATCACGGCTGCAGCCGCCCTCTCAGGTTTGGCTGCGCGGGGGGGGGGGAGTAGCGATCCAGCGACTTATGGCTCGCATGGCAGCAGAAAAGACTCCGTGTGCCAGCTGTGGCACGCATGGCATAGGTTCACCATCACTGTCCTAGACAGACACAGCGACTTCATTGAAAACTCTTTCTCAGAAGTCTGTGAGTGCATATATGCATTACTCCCTCACTTACACATGCACAGAGATAAAAGATTACTCAACCATTCTTTAGACTGAAAAACTTTTTTTTACTACTTGGATGCATTTTTGTTATGTGTTGTCAAGTCACTTTCAACTTAGTCGTAGTAGTAGTAGACATCCTTCAGTCTTGAGAGAATATGGTAATGTGCTCTGAATAGAGGTCTTGGAACAGCATCTAGTGTGGCTGAGAAGGCCAATTCGAGAGTGACAATCCCTTCCACACTGAAGACAGATACAATCTGTCCCCTATCCAGCTCCCGACCGTCAGCCACTTAACTTGAAAGCCAATCATAGATGAATGATAGGTCTTCAAAATGTCCTTTCCCCAACAACCCTGCTCAGTTCTTTTAAACTCAAGCCTGTGGCTTCCATTAGAAAATCAATCCATCTCGTATTTGGGTCTTCCTCTTTTCTTGCTGCCGTCAACCTTTCCCAGCAATGTCTTTTCCAGAGAATCTTGCCTCTTCATGATGTGTCCAAAGTAGGACCATCCTGGTTCCATAATTTTTGGCTCCAGAGACACTTCAGGCTTGATTGCTCTAAGATTCACTTGTTCATCTTTCTGGCAGTCCAGGGTATCCACCAAGTTCTTTTCCAGCACCTTATTTCCATTTTATAGTAGATAAATTCAGTTTTAAGGCATGTCCAGATTTCATTTTAAATATGTTTATTTTTAGAAGAAAATAATGCCTGATTTTTTAAAAAATCTGTTTAGAAATTAAAACAATTATACATTATAAAATAATGAAATGTTACCCATTTTGTTCACCTTAAGTACTATTTCCCCAGACTTTGCATGCTAATCTGTTTTTGCCATCTTACCTAATAGTACATGCAACAGCCAAGTATAAAAATACTGCGTTCTTCGTGAATGCTGGCAGATGCTGACTGCTGAAGCAGCTGCTGTTCGACGAATAGTAGGAGAACTCGATTTAAGGTTAGCTATAAAAGCCTTCAATAAAACCTAAGGTGGAAGAATTTTTCATCAATGCATTATCTGTAAGACATTATAATATCTAACAGTAACAGTGACTCATTCTATTATAAGTTTAAACATGCTTTAGAGATAATATACAGTAAAGGTAAAGGTAAAGGTTCCCCTTGACAATTTTTGTCCATTTGTGTTCGACTCTAGGGGGTGGTGCTCATCCCCGTTTCCAAGCCATAGAGCCAGAGTTTTGTCCAAAGACAATCTTCCGTGGTCACATGGCCAGTGCGACTTAGACACGGAACGCTGTTACCTTCCCACCAAGGTGGTCCCTATTTATCTACTTGCATTTGCATGCTTTCGAACCGCTAGGTTGGCGGGAGCTGGGACGAGCAACGGGCGCTTACTCCGTTGCGTGGATTCGCTCTTACGACTGCTTGGTCTTCTGACCCTGCAGCACAGGCTTCTGCGGTTTAGCCCACAGCGCCACCATGTCCCACAATACAGTGTAATATACAGTGGAACCTCACTTTACAAAAGCCTCGGTTTACATAATTTTCAGTTTATGAACTGAAGTCCATAGAAAATAATGCCCCGGTTTACATTTTTTTACTTTTTTTCCTGCTGTACGAAAGGATTTCCCCAAGATGCATTGTGCCTGGAGGTTTCTAGCGCTGCCCCCGTTCCTAGAGCAATCTGTCCATTGGTTTACAAAATTTCCACATAACGTCCCAGAGGATATATTAATTTGACAAACCAAAGTACATCCTTCCAGTTAATGACACTGACATAAGTGTAATGGTATAAACTGCAGCAATGAATTGTCACCAGTTCATAAGTTGCCACTTTTACCCTGTCACTAAATGAAAACAAGTTAACCAACAGCCATTTGCCTGCACAGCTGTGAGAAAAACTGAGGGAAGTGGAAGGGAAAAGGGGAAAGAAAAGGGAAAGGAAAGAAAAAATATATGGAAACCTTTTCGTCTTGATTGGAAAGGAATTTTAAAAGAAACCAAGTTTCTTTCTGACATTCCGCCAACTTAAAAAGTACCGTATTTTTTGCACCATAAGACGTACTTTTTTTCTCTCCAAAGGGGGGGTAGAAAATCCGTGCGTCTTATGGTGCAAAGGTGGTGACTTCGCCCCCACTGGCCCCGTGGGGGGGGAGCATCGCAAGGGTCCGAGGGAGCCTTCCAGCACCCTTGCGATGCTCCCCACCCCCCCACGGGGCCAGCGCGGGCGAAATAGCGACCTTCCAGGACCTTTTGAGAGGAAAGCTCTCAGTAGTCATTGCAGTGGGTTTCAACAGCCTTGTGGCTCCTACAAATGGAACATTCCTTGCTTTTCAGGGATCTGTTACAGTATATTTTTCTTTTGTTGAGAGTTCCAGGAAAACACCTCACCCTCTTTTATGGCAAGAATAATGATTTTGTAATTCTTTATAGAGATGAGGGGTGTTTTTTTTTTTTAAATTTCTCAGACTGCAATTCCCATATGTCTCCCTTCTGGGAATTCTACCTGATGAACAGACACCATGTAGACACCTGAATGTAGATTGCCTTCGAGAAAGGCCTCAACTGAAAGGCTTTCAGACTGAACTAGGCGAAGATCTGCCCAGGCTTCCTTTCCAGAAATAAAGCTCCCAGCAAGCACTGAAGGAGTAACGGGAAATTTGGGTGGAGCTTGGCCTAGCTCAACATCAAAGCCATCCATCTTTCTCCCACATCAAATTTTTAGGAGAAGAAAACAGGAAAAAATCTGTTTTCTTCTCCTAAAAATTGGTGAGCCTTATGGAGAGGTCCGTCTTATGGAACACAACCTAGGACCATTTGGAGGCTCACCCAGCCCCCCCTGAAGGCCAGAGGGGGCAAAATCACCACCTTCTGGGGCTCTTTTGAGGCTTGGAAAGCTTCAGAAGAGCCCCAGAAGGTGGCAATTTGGCCCCTCTGACCCCGGGGGGGGCAGGGTGAGTCTCTAAAGGGTCCTGGAACACATTCTAGGACCCTTTGGAGGCTCACCCTCCCCCCCCAACAGGCTAGAGGGGGCAAAATTGCCACCTTCTGGGGCTCTTCTGAAGCTTTCCAAGCCTCAAAAGAGCCCCAGAAGGTGGTGATTTTGCCCCCTCTGGCCTTCAGGGGGGGCTGGGTGAGCCTCCAAATGGTCCTAGGTTGTGTTCCATAAGACGGACCTCTCCATAAGGCTCACCAATTTTTAGGAGAAGAAAACAGATTTTTTCCTGTTTTCTTCTCCTAAAAATTTGATGCGTCTTATGGAGAGGTGCGTCTTATGGAGCGAAAAATACGGTATACAGTTGACGAAGAAATATAATTGCTTCATTCGGATACAGTATAACTTGGTGCCTAATGCTGTTGAGCTCCCTTCAAATTCCAAACTCTTGAAGGACAGGGAGCGGAACATGAGAGCCCCAAGCTCTCATGGATCATCTTGATAATGCCAACTGAAGTCTCAAGCAGTATATGTGAATTGGGCCAAAATGAAATACAGCTCAGAAACCTATTTTATGGCACACTCCATTCAAAATTTAAAAAAAAAACTTCTACATTTTACGGTCTCATAAATGAAACACGTATTTTAACAATGTTATATGACATGGTTAGCCTTGTTTTATTTACTCCAACTAATTCCTAGGTGCAACATAACATTTTTAAAGATAATTATACCTTAATTTCACTGTCATTTGCAAAATTCCCAAAAGCTGCCATGATTTTTGGTATTGCTGCAGCCAGTGTCTCCTGTACTGATTCTTCAGATCGCTTGCTTACTCGTGTTAGACAGGGCAAAAGATTTACCAAGTATGGCCTGCAATAAAAAAGGAAGAAAAGTAATATACTGTACTATTATTAAAATAAGTCTAAGAAAAAAGCACTAAAAATGTTCACTTCCATATCTTTCATATGGCATACCACTTCCCATAAACAAAGTTGGGAGTGTCATGATGATGGTATATGTGGTCAGAAGCATGTCATGATGATGGGATATGTAGTCAGAGTGTGAAGATGATTTAAGGGACACTGGAATGTGTTTTTCTAAGCACCATGAGTCTGTTTTCCTGAAGACCATTACAGCCAGGATCCAGATATCATGAAGGCCATATTCAGAGGCCCTGGAGACTCAACATTCCAAGCTTGTTACAGAAGAGATAAACTACACCTGGACTCTCATGGAAATAAGGGGAGGAGAGAGGTGCTACAACTTATAAAAACTTAACAGCCAGAAAGGCCATAAAGAAGGGAGGATGATGGGCTATTTGAATGTGTCTGAGACTGGAGGAAATGGATTCTATTCTGTTTGGGATTTCATTCCATGATGACGGTATGAGCATGTAACTTGAAGGAGAGAGGATGTAAGTAAAGGAGAAAGAAGAAGAGGTGCCTGTTGAACTCTCTGGCCGAATGCCCAGCGGCCCTTTAGGGGGTCCAGTGCATCACAGGGAGCATCACCCTTAAATTTTCCATCACCTTAAACTTTCCTGCACCTCCTCTGTGGAGGTGGATATACTTGTTGGTGAAGCCAAAGATCTCTAGGAGTTATAATATTGTGAATTAAGTTAAAAAATATCAGACACAAAAACCAAACAACAATTATTTGATTTTCTGCATCTTCATACATCTTAGGCACACAGTAAACACATGACCAAAAAACCCACCCCAAATACATTCTCTTGATATAACCTTTAACCTACGGACATGTTTTTTGAACAATCCAGCATACTCAAAGTAAGCCTACAATACCAGAAAAATCTCACCTGCATTTCTGGGGTCGAACAAGATGTGCAAGTTCAGCAAACCTCCAAAGAGCAGCACGCAGACTTCGAGAAGCACCATTCTAGCCAAATGTAATTGAGAATGTATTAGTAACACACAGGTTTCAGGTACCAGTTTTGTTTTTACCAATCTCTCCCTCTGTGTGTGTGTGTGTGCGTGCGTGCGCGCGCGCTTGTCTGTGCACACATGTAAATATGATACACACACACACAATGTACGCATACCCAGATACACACAGAATCTGGGGACCACTTGCAAATTCAAGGACTCAAACTGTCTAAATGCAATGACTGTATTTACTCTTTTAAAAGGACAATACTGTTACATTTAAAAATATATAGACTTGGGGAAAAATCAGAGTGAAAAAGTTTTCTTAAGGTAAATGAATTCTTTTGGAAAAATCAATTGATGTTGTGAAAACCCTTAATCTACAGTACCCCAAACTAGAGACCATAGTAATATATCACATGCTAATGCTAGAAGTTTCAACAGAAGAAAGCCAAATTGTCTTTTAAAATGGAATAAAAGCATGAAAATTCATAGTCGCAAAGAAGTATACAGTGGTGCCTCAACTTCTGAAATTAATCCGTATTGGAACGGTGGCCGTAACTCGAAGTTTTCTTAAGTTGAAGCACCATTTCTCATTGAAATGCACGGGAATGGAATTAATCCATTCCAGCATTTCAAAAAAATACAAAAACAATTAAATCACACAGAAAGCCCCATCGGAAGGCTCTTGGGCTTAAAAAAAAACAACCAAAAATAAACAGAGCAAGCCCCAAAGGCCGCAAAAAAAAACCCCACACAACCCCAAAAATAGACATCAAGCAATCCCCACGCTAGGACTGCAAAAACCAACACAGCACAGAAACATAAACCCCCTCAGCCGAAGCCCACCCTGCAAAACCCACCCAGAAGTTTCTAAAAAGGAAAAAGCAGCACCTTACCAGGCAGAATGAAACCCCCGATGGCACTCACTCCCAATGGGGAGCCTCCTCCTGTGCCGCCGCTGACGCAGTACAGAGGAACCCCTCCAACCCGCGCGCCTCAGCCCAGCATCTTTTGGCCACCCTTACTCATGAGTAGACCTGCGCCTTCTGCAGGCCTTACTCATGAGTAGGCCCATGCATTCAGCAATCCTTACTCATCAGTAGACCCGCACCAGGGATGGGCAGGGAGCGTACCAGCTTCCTGTACTCAATGGCAATCCTGAGCTGCCCCCGCCTCTACCTCCTCCTCCTGCTTCGCATGAATAAAAAGTTCCCTGCTCTATCTGTTGGGGTGAATGAGCTACAAAGAAACAGTCTCTTCACCACCAACAGTTTGAATTTCCTGCCCTTTCCCGCTACCTTTTTCTGTTCTTAGGTCAAAGCTCCGGCCACAAGTTGAAGCGAAATTTTGCGGCCAGAGCTTTTCGTAACTCGAAATTTGTGTAGGTAGGGGTGTTCACAAGTCAAGGCATCACTGTATATAGGTTGTAAAGATAAAAGAGGAGAAAATCAACTATATTTCTCTAAATAAAATCACATGCTTATTAAAGTACAGGTGCCATTAAAAATGTAGTTTGCCACAACAAGATAGCAGAATCCTCCTTGGCACACTTTCTCTGACACCCGAAATTTTGCGGAAACAATAAAGCCTGTTAAGCTCTTGGTTGTAATATGACTATGGCCACAAAGATTTAAAGAGGTATTATTATTCTACCATGTTTCCCTGAAAATAAGACAGGGTCTTATATTAACTTTTGCTCCAAAAACACATTGGGAATTATTTTCAGGTGATGTTTTATTTTATAGTCATGTCATCTTCTGGTTGCTGCACAATGCTGCACAATGGTGGAGGGTGGGGTTAAATTAACTAGGGCTTATTTTGGAGGTATGGCTTATATTACATGCATCCTGAAAAATCATACAAGGGTTTATTTTCAGATTAGGTCTTATTTTCGGGGAAAGAGGGACTTACTCCACAATGAAAAAGAAGAACGTTACTCTACTGGATTATGGAGAAAGCCAGAGAGTTCCAGAAAAAAATCTACTTCTGCTTCATTGACTATGCAAAAGCCTTTGACTGTGTGGACCACAGCAAACTATGGCAAGTCCTTAAAGAAATGGGAGTGCCTCACCACCTTATTTATCTCCTGAGAAACCTCTACGTGGGACAGGAAGCAACAGTTAGAACTGGATATGGAACAACTGATTGGTTCAAAATTGGGAAAGGAGTATGACAAGGCTGTATATTGTCCCCCAGCTTATTTAACTTGTATGCAGAATACATTATGTGAAAGGCTGGACTAGAGGAATCCAAGCCAGAATTAAGATTGCCGGAAGAAATATCAACAACCTCAGATATGCAGATGATACCACTCTGATGGCAGAACGTGAGAAGAAATTAAAGAACCTCTTAATAAGGGTGAAAGAAGAGAGCGCAAAAAATTGTCTGAAGCTCAACATCAAAAAACCCAAGGTCATGGCCACTGGTCCCATCACCTCCTGGGAAATAGAAGGGGGAGATATGGAGGCAGTGACAGATTTTACTTTCTTGGGCTCCATGATCACTGCAAATGGTGACAGCAGCCATGAAATTAAACGACGCCTGCTTCTTGGGAGGGAAGCAATGACAAAGCTAGACAGCATTTTAAAAAGCAGAGACATCAGCTTGCCGACAAAAGTCCACATAGTCAAAGCTATGGTTTTTCCTGTAGTGATGTATGGAAGTGAGAGCTAGACCATAAAGAAAACTGACCGCCAAAGAATTGATGCTTTTGAATTGTGGTGCTGGAGGAGACTCTTGAGAGTCCCTTGGACTGCAAGGAGAACAAACTTATCCATTCTAAAGGAAATCAACCCTGAGTGCTACTGGAAGGACAGATCCTAAAGCTGAGGCTCCAATACTTTGGCCATCTCATGAGAAGAAAACCATGGATACCAATCCCACAAATACAGGGGTCCTACTGTATACAACTTCCCACTTCACTTCTCACCCCTTTTCTAGCAGCTCTCCAGCCACCCTACAGCAAAGGATATAAATGCATCAGGTACTAATTTAAGCACCACAGTAAAATCACTGAACAGAATACTTTGATCATAATGTTCTATACAGCTGAATAAAAGAGCAAGATGTTAAGTGAAGGCATTTGGTATGACATGGATGCTTAAACTAAGCATGTCTAGCTCTGAATGGATAAATGGAACCCTAACATAGGAAAAAGCTGTTCTAATGTTAATCTTCCATGTCAAGAGGCAAAAAAAGATAGACAGTTTACCCTTACGTGCTTACAAAAACCTGATCTGGTGAACTAACAAAAGAGCCACCTGCATTCCTCAGAACAGATATTACACCTGTACTGTACTACAGATATATTTTTAAAAAGGAGCGGGGAACCTTCAGATGTCTGGGGAACAAACATGCCCATCTCTGGACATTAGAAGGCCATACCCACTGCTGCAACCTCCAAATCTTTTTGTTTCCTTACAAAAGTTAGGGTTTAAATTGAAAAACTATCTTTGTGCCGTCCTAGAGGTTTGAAAAACATTTTTAAAAACAACTGAAAATGTGGGGTGGCACAGGATGCATAGTAGTGTTAGGAGCCCCCCAGACATGATAAAGCTGCCCCCATACCCTGCAGAGAACCATCATCCCTTTCCATCACACAGGGCACAATAATATATTGCAAAACAACAACAACGTTTTAATTAATTCTTTAATTATCAGAAAAAAACTTTTTCCAAATAAGTGTGGTCTGATGGTGACTGACCTCGCATCGGTCCCCTTGTCATGGTCAGATCACCACCTGATAAAATGTAACCTCACAGTGGCTCTCCCCCCTCGCAGGGAGCACGGACCTATTTCTATGGTCCGCCCTCGAAGGCTACTGGATCCTGCTGGATTCCAGGATGTCATGAGAGGGGTCACGGCAGACCTGGCTAGCGCTCCTGTCGATGCTCTGGTTGATAGCTGGTCCACCTTCGTAACCAGGGCTATAGACACGATCGCGCCTAAATGCCCTCTCTGTTGTAGAGCTCGGCCAGCGCCCTGGTTTAACCAGGAGCTTCGAGCACTGAAGCGACATAGGAGAAGGCTAGAGTGTAGGGGGAGGAAGAACCCGACAGATTATAATAGGATAGTGGTCAGGGTTGCAACTAGCCTTTACCTGTCTAAGGTAAAGGCTGCTTGTCGAACTTACTT